CAGTGAGTTCTAGGTATGGTGAAACACCTTGTCTAAAAATAAGGTGGAGAGTGATGAGGAAGATACCCAGTGTTGACATCTGGCCTCCACACGTGTGCGTGCACACACACATACATCATAACAAAATTGTGCAAAGCATTTATACTAAAGTGTGTATTGTTCAAACATCATGTGTTTTGTAGTTTCTTTATTCCATAACTTGATTCCTGTGAATAGTGCTGCAGTTACATGTCAGTGTTGGGGCATCTTTATGGTAGCTAAGTGAGAGTCCTTCATATATTTACCCAAAAGTGGTATAACTGGATCATATGGTAGTTCCTAAGAATGAAGTTGCTGGACCGTATGGGAATTCTGTTTCACTTATTGAAGAGCCAGAATATGATGCCGCTTTGATTGTTGAGAAGCAAACCCCAACAACCCAAATCGTTTTGATCCATATATATGATCTCAGTTTCTGTGGTATTTCCGGAGCCCAGGCACAGTTCATAGGGCATTGCTGGGGCATCTGTCACAGCACCCCTCAGCTCAGGACTGCAATCCAGATGTTGCCTAGGCTTCATTCTCTTCTGGAGCTTGGGGTCCTTTTCCATGCTTCCTCCAGTTCTTGGCAGACCTGAGTTCCACATTGCTAGAGCATTGAGATCCTTAGCTCCTAGGGCTTAACTTTCCTCTTTGTGGTCTGGCTGCCTTCTCAAGGCCAGCAGGAAATGCTCTTTCCAGGAAGGTCCCAGTCCTACTTTTAATGGCTTTTTTGCCCAATTAATGGCCCACCCAGGAGCAAGTCCCATTTGATAAATTCAACATCAACTGATAGGAAACCTTAATTACATCTTGAAATTTTATTTTTGGACATTATAATAAGTCATCTGGCCAGATTCATGGAAAAATGTATCTTCTCAAGGGTGAAAAATTGAAGCAAGTCATTAAGAACTTATTCGTCATATAGTTACAAAAAAGAAAACCAACCCTGAACATCATTTACTATTAACCAGCTCAGGGATAAACACGGACCTCCTCAGGTCTGAGACTAGTGTTTTTATCATAGCCCTGGATCACCACTGACACTAGTGATATACTCATCCAACTATGAATACCATAAGGCCAAGTAGCTCAGCATCTAGTGCACATGAGGCCCCAGGTTCCATCCTCAACACTACATAAAACCCAGTGTGATGATGCACTGATGCACACCTGTAATCCCAGCACTTTGGAGGTGGAGGCAGGGGGATCTAAAATGCAAGGTCATCCTCAGCTACACGGTAAATTCCAGGCCAGCCTGGGATTCCTGAAACCATCTTAAAAAAGAAAAGCAGTCAAGTGCTCATCAGAGTCATCTTGTGGTCCCAGTTAAATGCTACCACAGTCAACATTTGTTGGAAGAAGAAACACAGTTCCCTGAGAGACATGGTCTTGGCCATAGTTTTTGGTTATGTTACTCCAGTGTATTGAACCAGTGTATTGAACCAACTCTCCCATCCTTGAAATCGCCTTTTTTTTTTTTAAGATAGTCTCATGTAACTCAAGCTGGCCTCCAACTCACTACATAGCTGAGGATGACCTTCAACCTCTGATCATCCTGCCTCTAACTCCTGAGTGCTAGGATTAAATAGATGCACCACCATGTCTAGTTACATGGGGCTCAAGATTGAACCCAGAGCTTCATGTGTGCTAGGCAAGCACTCTACCTGAGCAACATCACCAGCCCTGAAAATCTCTTTAGATGTGGCATCACTGCAGTCACTTTGTGACAAGTAAGCCAGCTCATAGCACTTTTTACATAACAAATTGGCAAGCCACAGAGACCTGTTGTTTATTGATCCAAGTGTCCTGATTGTGATTCTCAGCAGAGTGACTATCATTCCCTTGGGCATATCCCCTTGTCTCTTGCCCTTTGCTTTTCCCTACTGTGAAATGGGAAATGGATTGTTTCCAGTTACCTCATAGCATTGTGAGGAGAGTCAAAGCTGGATGCATGAGCATCCCTGGTCAGCGACAGGCCGTGATCCCCTTTGGAGCCTGTCACTGTTGTTGACATTGAGAATACCAGTATGGGAACAAATGGTGTCATTGTCACAGGCTCAACTACAGGGGCCTCTCCTTCCTTAAGCTGGCAGCTGAGACCGAGAGCTTGAGATCCCTGGGCCAGCTGTTGTGAAGTTAACGCCAAGCAGAGGTAACACAGGCCTCAGAACTGGGCCCAAAGCCAAGCTTGTGAGGGAGCATTGAGAGAGGGGGAGCACAAAAGTTGGAAAACAAGTGTTTTCTCAGGAGATTTTAAAATGTACGGTTTTGCCTCCAAGGGTAGACAAAACACCAATAGGAGAGCTGCCTGAAAATTCCTGCTCTAATTCCCCATCCCCTAAAGAAGATTCGAGAAGTAGAATAGCACTGTGAGCACTTTCTCAAGGACCCTTCCCATAGAAGCTCAGATAGCCACACCCTTTGTAGTTAGCTGGGAGCTCACAAAGAGCAGTGTTGTTTCCACTGAGGAAGAATGATAGCCTGGCATAATGGTGTCCTTATTCTATAAACCTCAGAGTTTGTGTGGTGAGGGGTAAGTTAGCTGCAGGCTCTGGCAACGGGGGAGGCGGTACTTCGCAGAAGGTATGTGCTTTCAGCCTGGTGCTGAGCCACATGGAAGGTCTTCCTAAAGAGGATGGTGTGGTCAAAAGCAGAAGGCAGTTTCAACTCTCTTCCCAGATGATTGCTAGACCACATAAGATACCTTTTTTTTTTAATTGAAGGATGTCTGATAGAAAGAATCCAACTGAGGCCACTGAGACAGTTCAGCTGGTAAAGGCACTTGCCTCCAAACCTGACAACTGAGTTTGATCTTTGGGATCCACTTAGTGGAAAAAAGAGTCCTGCAAGTTGTCCTCTGACCTCCATATGTATGCACAAGCACATACAAAAATTAAAGAAATGTTAAAAAAAAGAAAGTTTTCAATCACCTATATTGTCTGTTCCACTTGATAGATTTCGGTGAAATATTGCTGAGGTTTAGAAGTTATCGAGATAAAAGACTGATGAGGAATAACAGATAAGCCTGTTGTTTTAAACCAGAACAGGAACGGTGGTATTTGTGAATGGAAAGATCCCTATCACACAAAAAGAATCAGTAGGCTAGGAGTAGCTGCTGAAGAAGTTTAGTGGACAGTTACTAGGGAACAGAGCCCCCGAATTAGACTTGAGCATTGCCTTGACCCACTTCGGGATGCCTATGGTATTATATCACACATGCTATGTCAGGGATCACTTCCAAAATTCTGACTCATCTCCCAGGCGAAGGAAGTCATGTCAGCCTGTGAATCCCACCCCTGGTCTTATCCCAGAACATTTTTTTTTTGCCAGATTTGATGCTAACCAGTAGGCCTGAAAGAAGCTATGTAGTGCAATGGTCAAAGCCTCGAGCTCTAGTCCTGGCTCTGTTGGCAAATCCTGCCTTTCCACATGAGTCTGTTACCCACTCCATGTGTTGCTGGCTTTGCTGGCTAAAAAGAACTGGTTTCAGTAGTTGACTTAGTCCCTTCCAGCTTTAAGTCCTGAAAGATCTATTTCTTAGCTTTGCGTGCAACAACAACAACAACAAAAATCATAGATATGTAAATAGTCTAACTTTATGATTTTCATTAGGAATGAAAGGGATCCTAAAGATCAAAAGATCATCTAGTGCAACCCTTTCAACATACAGAAATAGAAACCCAAGCCAAGAGAGGGAAAATGCTGGTGCTCAATTCATGAAAAATCAAGGTTTAGAGATCACGTTCCTCCATTCCCTGCACCAAGAATTCTTCATTGCATTCATTTTTCAAAGTAATACAATACAGAAACATTGTTTACTACAAACTTTTATGTAGTAATTGATAGTTTTAAAGAAACAAAAACCAAAAAAGCCCAGTTTTCTGCCCCTTCCCTCCCACCTCAGTCCTGTACCCTCTCGCCCCAGTTGTCTTCCCCAGAGGCAGTGGTTTTTATCAGCTTGCTCTAAACAATATTTCTACTTCTATTTCTTGATTTATCCATTTTAGACCTTATCTATTGATTTTCTCCTGTGAAAACAGAAGATTTGGCTTACTTTGCATTATCACCATCTACCTCTTTCTACTACTTCCCCACGTCTAATAGTAGTTTTGTGAGTTTTTAAAATTTTGCTTTTAAAGTAGCATACAATAAAATATATTTTAATGCATAATTCTATGAGTTTATGCACATAGAGTCATGTAGCTCTCACTATAATCGTATTGCATACTTCCATGGTCCACATGAACAACCTCATGTTGCCTTTTCTAGTCAGCTCCTCCCTTGCTCCCATCACCTGACAACCACCAAAAACTTTTATGTCACTACAATTTTGTCTTTTGCAGAATGCTGTTGAAATGGAATTGTGCAGTATGCAACCTTTTGGCACTGTGTCCTTTCACTTATAACTGTTTTGAGTCACTTAATATAACTATACAGAGATTCGTTTATCAGTGGTCCATTCTTTTGTGTTGCTGAGTAGTATTCCATTGCATGGATATACCAAAGTTTATAAACCAGTTGAAGCACATTTGAGCTGTTTCCAGTTTGACAGTATTATTTTAGCCATTCTGTTGGTTTCTTGTTAATTTGATATCATATATTTAAACCTCCTTTCTTTATACCCTGACCCACTATATATTAACTAGGTCTCCTCAGCATAGTGAATGCTTTTGACTGATTTCAAAAGATGGCACTATCACTGTTTCAGTCTTTGTGGTAGACAGATGTGACGGTATAATTTTTCACAGGGTGAGAAGGCTTGCTTCCTTGCTAACCAGCAGCTCCATTCAGGTCAGCAGCCATTCCAAATGCCTCCTGCAGCATAGGGTGCCTTCTCTAGTACCAGATGTGCTTAGTGCTGGGAAGATAGACATGTACTTTCTGTTCTAACCGTTGCTAACTCCGGCAGTAATTTGGGGGAAAAAGACCTTTCTTCATGTGGATTTCAGCTTTTGTCTGTCATGCTTTTTCTGTTCCAGCTGCCTTCACCAGCGAGCACAAAGCCACATTTCAAAGGAGACTGACAAATTATCCCCAGCTGCCAGAAGGAGGTTAGTTTTCTGTGTGTTCTGTGTCCCCTCTCCGATAACCAACAGGTTAATTTTGTAAGAGGAATTGACAAAAGCAGAAATTGTCCTTTCACCCACATGGGATTTTTTTCATTTTTGAACGATGTGGATTTGTAATATTCCTCTCCATTCTTACTTCATTGTACACCAGGAAATTCACGAAATAATCACAACTCAATGTCTGTGTTTTGCAAAATTCATGTTAGTGCTTTCTTTTTTTAAGTGTTCAGAGGATCTAAATTCTTTTTAATTAGCTACATAGGCGTCTTCCTTCAGTGAGTAAATATTTAAAGCTAAGTGGTGTCAGCCCTGACCGTGGAGAATTGCGAGTTGTTGGCAGTTTTAATCATTTTCATAAGTGTTTTATCTGGCGTTTACTTGGCATAACAGGAGAGTCTACTTTACCTTGCATATAGCAGGTGCTTATGCTTAGGAAGTACTTAGGGCGTCTAGAATGACTGAGACACAGCCTGCACTAGCGGCTTATTAAATGCCCTTTGAGTTGAAATGATACAAAGTACTGTCAGTCTACATGGTGGTTAAGGCAGGAAGTCAGGCACTCTTCATCATGCATGGGAATGCAAACTGCTACAACTCTTACACAAAGACAACTTGGGAAAATTTGCCTAAGTGTTAGTAGCGCTGTTATCTTTTCCCCTGTAATTCTCTTTCTAAGCAACTTATCCTTTAAAAAACTACTGTCATTATATGCTCAATAGTAATAAAAATTTAAATGTTTAAGGATATAGACTTGCTAATTACCTTGATTTAATCATTGCATAGTACATGAGTGTATCTAATTATTACACTGCACTCTACAAATCTGTACAAGTATTAATTCATAAAATAAGTATTTGAAAATAATACACACAAAATACTATGAAATTAATTATAGTATCATTTAAAAATAAAGTGGAAACTTCTGAAATTGTCCATGCTAGGAAAGCCTATTTAAAACATTTCTGTTATGAAATGCTATATAGTTATTTCAAATCATGTTAGAAGAATGTTTAATAACATGGGAAATGCTCACAGCCTAAATTGAATGGGAGAAGGGAGGATATACAGATGGATGTATGGTATGATACTCTATGTATGTATATGTGTGTGTGTGTGTGTGTGTGTGTGTGTGTGTGTGTGTGTGTAGAAGACTAGAAGGAAATAGAAATTTTTATTTATTATTTTTATTTTATGTGTATGAGTGTATTGCCTTCATGTGTGTAAATACACCCGTGTCGTGCAATGTCCATGGAGGTCCAAAGAGGGTGTCGGATGCTCTGGAAATGGAGTTACAGATGGTTGTTAAGCCTCCATGTGGGTGCTGGGAATCGAACTCCGGTCCTCTGCAAGAGCAGTCAGTGCTCTTGACCGCTGAGCCATCTCTCCAGTTCAGAAATAGAAATTTTAACAGTAGTTAATTCTATGTTGTGAGATTATGACTGATTTTCGTTTTCTTATTCTTGTAATGAACTTGTCATACTTTAAAAATCTAAAAATTAATCTTTAATTTGAAAAAATAAAAATTATGCTAGATGAACAGAATATATTCATAAAATCCTAGTAATATGATATAGACTCATTTCACCAACACCAACTAAAAAACAAAAAAAAAACCTCTTTGGATGCTATGTAGACAGTCACAGCAGTGATCAGTTTCCAGAAAGACAAACTAAAACCCTTCAAAGTCCTCTCAGTATTAAATGCTAGGAGTTCATGTTTGGTATTGAAAGGTATTTATTTGTTAGTTTCTCCACTGCTAGCTAATTCTCATCCTTCACTTTCTCTATCTCCACTCATTTTTCAACTGTCCAGATCTGTGGAACAAATGCTAGGAAAACTGGACATAAATAAAAGCCAATGGCTTACGATACTGCAAAGCCTCTCTTCCTGTGTACTAATGGCTACCTGCCCATTGAACTCCCTAGAGTGGAGTGCTCAGAAAACTGCAAATGCTCAAAAGACAGAACTGCTTAGGAAGTCTGGAAAGATTGAGACACAACATGCACAGCTTTCCCTCCCTACTTTGCTTAGTTTCACATGAAATAAACTGATGGGCTCTGTTTGGGAGGGGAGAGTACTAAGTAAAAAGCCAGCCACCAAAGACAGCTGCATTAAGAAATCACAGAATCCTAGACCATAAGAGAGGGAAGGAAAATAGTCCAGCAAAGATAAGGTTCCTTCCAAATACTTGATTCTATGAGGGTCTAAATGTTACTTCATAAAAATATCATCTATCAATGCACCTCATTTTTCAGATGAAGAAGCCAAAGCATGAGGGAAATTTTTGAGTTGTTTTAAATCACATGGCTTGCTGACTCCAGAGTTGGGACTAGGACCTGTATCTTCTGGAGACTTGGGTAAAAAGATAATTTTCTAGTTAGACTTTTCCCTCAGCTATGGATATTCTAAATACTGTGTACTTGTGCTTGGACGTTTTGCTAACAGCTCAAAAGCTGATCAGATACAAAATCAAATTCATGATGCTTTCAGGACCTGAACCACTCTGTTTGGTCTTTTATTCTGTTTTAACCCCTCATCCCAGTCTATTAACAAAGTCTGTCCATTACCCTTCAAAAATATCTTTATATGCTACCTGTTGACAACTCCTATCTCCCTTGGAAAAACCCTTCTGAGGGCTGGGGAGATAGGTCAATCATGAAAGCAAGCATGGGGAACTGAGTTCGATGTCCCAGAACCCATGTAAAACAGCCGAGTGTGACAGCATGCACTTACAATTCCAGCAGTGGGTAGATGGAAACAGGCAGATCCCTGGGGCTCACTGACCAGTCATTGTACCCCAGTCTACCATTCCCAGGTCTCAGTGAAAAACCCTGTCTCAAAAACACAAGTTGGATGGCTTCCGAGAAACAACACCCCAAGCTTGACCTTTAGCCTCCACATGTACATACATATGTGCACACTCATAGATACATGAGTATGCTCACACACTTGCACATACACACAGACATAAGCATGCACACAGATATACACACAGAATAAGAACCCGAAAACCCTTCTTGATGAGTTCAGCCCATACTGCTGCCCTTCTTCTGGCATCATACAGCACTTCTAGTATACCTCACACAGTTTAGCTCAACCATTGTCATTTAGAAATCAGCATTTATGGGGCCGGAGAGATGGCTCAGCAGTTAAGAACACTGGTTGTTCTTGCAGAAGACCCGGGTTCGAAACCCAGCACCCACATGGCAGCTAACAACTGTCTGTACTCCAGTTCCAGAGGATCTGATGGGATCCGATGGCTTCTTCTGTCCTCACGGGCATTGCACGACACGGGTGCACTTACCTACATGCAGGCAATACACTTATACACATAAAATAAAAATAATAAATATTTTTTTAAAAAGAAATCAGCATTTATTCCGCAGCATTCATCCACACAAGTACCTACTCGGTACCTAATATTTGCCATACTTTGAAGTAGAAAATTCATTTTTCTTGTCTTTTCAACTAAATTCCTGTGGGTCAGGGCCATATATTTCTCCATAGCCTCATAAATGGCCATTCCAATTCTAGGCAGCATTGAAGACCTGTTAGTTCACAAGCAGTATAGAGTCAAGCACTCTGTCACCAGTTCAGCAGCTAGAGAACTCTGCTATAATTGGTAGTTTTGCCTCAACATGTCACAAGCTGCATGCATAGGAGCTACTCAACAAAGATAGAATATTAGGATGTGACTTTTAAACACTATTATCTTCGGGGCTAAGCGACAAGACTTAATAACTGATCAGCAAGGTGGGATCCTAAAAGTCAAGTGGGTTTTGCCACTGAAATTTGGAGTTGATATGCTTTTCACCATTCCCCTAGTACAACTCAAAATCTTTGAAATTCTATGTAAAACAAATATAGACATTGCAGGCAACAATTGGAATGTCACACTGGACCTCCCATAAATATGTGCAACTCCATGTGAATTGCAAAACCCATAAAAAAAGGGATAGGGCTGAGTGCTTCCCCAGCATACAGAGGGTCCTGGGTTTGATCCCAGCACTAGAGAGGAAGGGAGAGAATAAAGTGAGAGCAGTCAGTTGGCATTATTACACATTGTCAGTAATCAAGACAGTGTGGTGTTGCGGAGAGACAAATACATAAACCCACAAAACAGTAAAACCAGGAAGAAGACATACATAAATATGGCTAATTGATTTTTTAAGGATAAAAATGCAATTTAATGGGAAAAAAGCCTTATTTAAAATTACTGATTATTTATCTCATGGGAGGGCATGTGCATGCCATGGAGTATGTGTGAAGGTCAGAGAACAACTTTTTCCAAGTTGATTCTCTTCACTTTGTTGAGGCAGGATCTCTGCTCAACTGAATTTCTGTTCTACGGCAGCGCACTCCAGAAACCCACATGCTTCTAGCAAATGCTGAGTCAAGTTGATACGTAAAATTCACTCAAAATGGATGGTGAGCTTAAATGTATTATAAAAATGAGTAAACTTTTGAAAAATAAGCAGAAACGAAATCTTTAGAATCTAGGGCTTAGGCATAAAGTTCTTAGACTTGCTACCACAAGCACAATTCACAAAAGGAAAATTCTATAAATTTCACCTGCTCAAAATGCAAAAGATTCCAAGAGTGAGTGGCAGCACATGCCTGTCATCCCAGCACAGAAAGATTTCAAGTTCAATGCCAGCCTGGGCTAAAGTACAGCATTCATGGCCAGCCTGGGCTGCATAGCAAGGCCCTGTCTCACAGAAAAAAAAAAAACAACTGAGAAAAATGTGAAAGATCTGTATGAAGAGATGAAAAGACAAGCTACAGACTTAGAGAAAATATTTGCAAATTATACATCTGATCAATGTTTCCTACCCCACCCCCCAAAAAAAACTATTTTCTAAAATCAGTAGGAAAAAAAATCCAATTAGAAAATGGGGAAAGGACATGAAGACCTGTCTCAGCAAAGAGGAAGTATGGATGGTAGATACATGGAAAGATGTGTCCCCTTAAGGATATGAATT